GACATGATCAAAATGTGACTTGTCACAACCAAGAAAACCCCAAAGAGAAGCACTTATGGATACACTAATCATAAGTGCCTTCTTTGAGGTGGTCTGAGAGTGACTGACATTCAGATAAATCCAAAATTGACAAAGTTGCTTGGTCAGTTGAAACTGCCTCAACAAATAGCACTTACTCAGTTCAACAATCATGCCAGTGCTCAAGTTGAGGTAGTAGAAATGACTTACAAATGTGTTCCTCACACAACAAAAATCCTCTTTAATCATAATTCGGTGGACATAGACACTGATGAGTTTGTGAAAGCATTTCAAGACATGTTTTCAAGCAGAGGTCAAAAAAACTACCCCAACAAGAAGCACTTACTGCATTAAAAAACAAAGTCCGTGCTCCTGTTAGGGTAATATTTATAACTACATTCAAACAATGACATGATCCAGGTTGAAACGTGTTCACCAGAAAGCACATTTTTATTATCAATCCCATTTTGTTTCTCTTTGAACTCTTCTCTCATCTGTGGGACACAAAGCCTTGGCCTTGGTAGAGACATGATCAAACAGTGACTTGTCACAACCAAGAAAACCCCAAAGAGAAGCACTTGTGAATACAGTAATCACAAGTGCCTTCTTTGAGGTGGTCTGAGAGTGACTGACATTCAGATATATCCAAAATTGACAAAGTTGCTTTGGTCAGTTGAAACTGCCTCAACAAGTAGCACTTACTCAGTTCAACGATCAAGACCATGCTCAAGTTGAGGTAGTAGAAATGACTTACAAATGTGCTCCTCACACAACAAAATTCCTCTTCAATCGTGAGTTGGTGGACATAGACACTGATGAGTTTGCGAAAGCATTTCAAGACATGATTTCAAGTAGAGGTCAAAAACACTACCCCAACAAGAAGCACTTGCTGCATTAAAAAACAAAGTCCGTGCTCCTGTCAGGGTAATATTTATAACCACATTCAAGCCATGTCATGATCCAGGTTAAAACGTGTAAACCAGAAAGCACATTTTTATTATCAATCCCACTGTGTTTCTCTTTGAACTCTTCTCTCATCTGTGGGACACAAGGCCTTGGCCT